CACCCACACCCACACCCACACCCACACCCACACCCACACCCACACCCACACCCCTGCTAAAACCATCCAAAAGTCACGTAGTCGCTTTTATCTATAGCTGAATATACTTGAGATGTTTTATTTATCTATTTGTGTATATATTATACACTTTATAAACAACATGTTTGTGCCTGAAACATAGAATTACGTCTCATACAGTTTCTATCTTGTGAAATGAACCAATATTCTTAGTTCATAGGATAGAAAACTTCAAATAGGCAAGAAAAGAATATTATCTCATATTTAAATGTAAAAATCTTTCTTTGATTAACTATATTTAGACTTTAGTTGTCAACGAGTATTTCCACCAGAAAAACTGCGTAGGTATATTTTGTGAAAATAGGACTACAGTTATTAGATCTAATTTCAAGCAGGAAAATATTGATTCCTGACTGGAAACTTAAACTTATGTGACACAATGACATTCTCAACAAGAACAAAACTGAATACCAAATGAGATCGAAATGTTTATTGCACGATTAAAAGTACAATACTAAGAAAATTTCATATACACGAACTCTTAAGAGGGATCTTGAGTATTGGAAATCCTTTATAAAGATTTGAAGTATTATTTGAATCACTTTTATTCACTGCTTATCATTGAAGCCAAAATGATAATTATGGCGGTTGTAACCGATGATAGGCCATTGGATATTTTAATGTAGACACGAAAATTAAAGTGATTATTATCACAAATAGTTCTTTTTAAAAATACTGCCAGACGAGTTTTCAATAGAAAGTTTCTGAGAAAATTAAACTTTTGCTACATTACGAACTACAGATAAGAATACAAAAAAGTCAACATTTTAACAATATCGTGTTAATATGAAATTCAATGTAAAAACAATTTTTTTCAGTATGATTTTAAAATAATCAATTACTGTTTGTTATTTAAATATAACAATGAGTTACCAATTATTTCTGTCAAAAAAAATTTCTTCGTATATTCTCATGCGATAATATTATGATTAGAATTAATAACTAATTACAATTGATTACAAATGGTTCATTGACCATTTATCGTATTGTCCTTTATTGACTGATTGTAATAGTCAGTTTTTTTGTTGTACTTTTTACACAGAATACAAAATTGTTCATTGTCGAATTTGAAATGGCTTATGACAGTAAAGTTAGAGAAAAAAAAACGATTTAAGAAAAGATGACCGTGTGATATCCGAACATAGAGCCCTGCGGTTCCGAAAAATATGGAACCGAGAACCGAACCGCGGACCGTTTTTTCCAAGTTCTGTTACCCGGAACCGAACCGGAACCGTGAAAAAAAAGGGGATGGAACCGGAACCGGAACCGTTGGAACCGAACGGTTTTTTTAATTATAACTAAGCATCTCTGTAAATACAACACACTAATATGTCGAAACAGATTATGACTGATATTGTGGTGCATTTTGTGCATTTATGAGACTCATGTATAACAGAGGTTAAAAATAACTAAAAATTCTCAACGCTATTCCACAGAATCTTGGAGTCGTATGTACCGATATTCATATTTTTTATCATTGCTATGTTTTATGTCACTTCTTTTGTCTCTCTCATCGCTTCCATTTCTCTTCTATATATTAACCAATCTTATTTACCATTTTCAAAATGTATCTACTTCACATTAGAGAAATTTTTCTACGGAAGAAAAAAGACAAATATAAATGAGCAAAGAATACAATTGGAGCGATATGAGTAAAAGAAAGAATAGAATTAGAGCGACATGAACAAATGAAATTATGAGTAAGATGTACAAAGAGAACAGTGAAAGAAAGAAAAAGAAAAAGAACAATGAAGACAATGATATAAATAAGTGAAAGTGAGGTCAATAATCGGTGACATCAATATTAGTATATAATATATCGTTTGACGTTCTTTTATAGTTTCCTAGAAAAGTTATCTTTTATTCATATAAAATATTGTATTGTAATCTTATTACAAACGCGAAAAGTAACTATTTTCATTTATACTTAAATATGTAGAGCAAATGAACAAACATGTTTTATTTTTAGGAATTAATTTTCATAGTTTTCTTATACTTTTATTATTGGATTGAGAAAAACTCAAATCTAGTCATAACATGAATAACATTTCATTAACAAAAGAAATGATTAAACAGTTAATACAAGATGATGATAAAAGTTTAACATTTGTGAAACCGAAGACGGCATCATCACATGTTTGGAAAAAATATAGTTATATATATGTCTCTAACAAGAAGCAAGATTTTGTGTCTTGCGACGAATGCAAAGAAGTTTTACATCACATATCAACGGATGGCACGAGTTCTATGATAAAACACCAAAAATCGTGCCAAGGATCTCACAAGAACAATCAACATGAATCTTTTACCATTAAGGAATATTTTCGTCCTAAAATATCTGCATCAATACCACGAGCAATAAAGGAAAAAATTACAAATGCAGCTGTTGAACTAGTCTCTTTGGATAACCGTGCATTTGAACTTATTTCTGGAGATGGTTTTATTAATTTTGCACAAACTGTACTTGATGTTGGACAAAATTTATCTAATAAGCAAAACCATAGTATTGCCGATTTCTTGCCGCATCCAACAACCGTAAGTAAAAGATCCGACAATCAAAAGAAATAAGACAGAGCTTTCTTTTTTCCTATCGAAACTAGATTATAAATTTTTATTCACTGATAGATAAGTCGAAATGTTAAAAAGCTGTACAACAACAAAAAAGCTCAGCTTATTAATCTATGCAGGAATATGAAATCTTATGCAATTGTTGTGGACTTTTGGACGGATTCATATAGTGGTAAGTATATTCTTTTTGATAGAAAATTTTCCTGAAAGTATGAATTGGCATCGAACTTACCTCTGAGTTTGATATTAGTATGAATATCTCTTCTTTTTTAGGTGTTGGATTTTGTGGGATTGCACTTTTTCATTTGAACCAAGATTTACAATTATTTGTTTTTATATTGGGTTGTTATCCTTATGATAGAGACAGTCAATCCTCAAATCAAATTCGACAATTTGTTGATTCAAAACTAATGGAATATCATTTAACATTAGATGATAATAAATTTGTAGTTTCTGACAATGAAAACAAGATGAAATCTAGTTTTAAAAATTTATGTACAAGAGTTGGCTGTTCCATACATTACCTAAACAAACAACTACAGCATTGCTTTACTTCTGACGTAATAGACAAGATGCCTGTTGATTGTCATATTGTTCAAGAAATGTTCCATAGTATCCGGCAAATTGTATCTCATATGCGACGATCACACAAGCAGTCCAAATTATCTCGAAAGCTTCAGTCATACTGCGATACTCGATTTAATGGTGCTTTTTACACTATGAATGTCTTTTTAATAGTATTTGAAGAATTGCTCGGTGTATTAGACCTAACTCTTATGCAAAATTACGTGTTGATCGATAAAGATTTTCTTTCATCTGTATGTTTATTCTTAAAAAGATTCGAAGAAGTAATAGAACAACTTAGTTGTGATACAAAACCGACGATTTACAAAGTATTGCCATTGAGACAATATTTATTGAAACATTGTAAAATTGGTCCTGATGATCATGACGGAATACAACAAATGAAAAAGTTTCTAGGTATTTAATTATATTTTCTAATGTTAAATTCATTTTTTCCATTTTATATTGTAAAATATTTTAGTAGAGAGGGAAAGAAAAATGAAATGAGATCATTCTCATTTTCCATATGAAAGAGAAAATTCATGATACTCACGAATAAACAATGATGTCTCATCTAGATATACATGAATGTTTAAAAAAACTTGAGTTGCTTCTGCTATAATAGAATCCTATTTTGAAAAAAATATTTTTATATTTAGAAAAACGTATTCAAGATGTTTGGACGTTGCAGAATATCCACTATATAAGTACCTTTCTTCATCCATCTATGAAAAATTTTCATATTAATCCTGATTTACATGAAAAAGCTATTGAATTGGTACAACAAGAAATTTTGAAGCGAAAGCCAGCATCACCATCTAATACATTTGAAACAGTTACAACAACACCTATTCGTACAAACGCACCTGATTCTCAACCAACAACATCAAAAGGTCTTCTATCATACTGTTTTGACATACCAGAAACTGACTTCAAATCGACCTCAACATCATATGACGAATTAAAAGAGTATATGGCATTAGATGTTCAATTGACTGAAGATGATAATATTTTAGAATTTTGGTTACAGCAAAAATCGAAATTTCCAGTCTTATTTTCTATAGTTCAAGATTTTTATGCTGTACCAGCATCAAATACGACTATCGAAAGACTTTTCTCATCATCCAAAAACACAATAACGGATAAACGCAGTAGTCTTGGTGCTGAAAAATTAAATCAGTTACTATTTTTACAAAAAAATTTGAAATTACTCAACTCATTCGATAACAATAATTCTGTTAAAGTTAATGATGTTGAAGTGAAAAGAAAGATGGACCAGCAATCATCCTCTACAATTTTGAATACAGACGATGAACAATCTATTACTACAGCAACAAAAAAGTTTAAAAAGAATGAAGATGATGTTACTCTTATTGGTGATGATTAAAAAGAAGATAAAGAGAATAATGAGGTAGGTTTATTGTAAAAGTTTGTAATAATAACATTGTCATATGAACATATTTTATAGCAATGTATTTTCTTATTGTTTCATTCTAAAAGTTTGTGATATAAATAATCCTATATGAACATATTTTATGAACATTTTGTAATAGTGTATTTTCTCATTGTTTCATTTTAAAAGTTTGTGATATAAATAATTCTATACGAACATGTTGTGTAATAGTGTATTTCCTCATTGTTACATCTTTCATTGTATTTTTAGAAGTTTCTTTATGAAATAATAAATGAGAAGAATCTCAAAGATGACATATAGAAATTTAAAAAACCTATTTTAAACATGGTGTATATCGTCGTAAAAATACCGGTTCCACCGGTTCCTGCCACAAATTTTTGTAACCGAAATTGGAACCGTTTTTCTTCGTTTTTGTAACCGGAACCGACTGTTCCGGTTCGGTTCCGGGTATTTTTAGGAACCGCAGGGCTCTACTCTATATATTTTTATTACATGGCGATTTTGTGCGTGTAGATGCAAGCATGTGTAGCTTCTCTTAACCGAGAAAAGTTTCTCTCATATAGTTAGGGCAAAGCATAGAGTTGTCGTTGCCAAATAACAGGAAGCATTGACAAACCCCTGACTGGTCAAGACAAACCCATGCTATGGCCTCATAGTAAGAGAAAAAACCGTCTAATCAGATTTCAGAACGAGGTTTTTCTCTTATCATTAGGCCATTGCATGGCCTTGTCTTGACCGATCGAGAGGTTTGTCAAGGCTCTCTGTTATTTGGCAAAGACAAGCCTGTGCACCAGAGGTGCAGAATCTACCTTAAAATTAAAAAATTTCCCCACACGCATAATAACTCTCGAAAAATTTTCTCCACTTTGAAAATAGAAGAAATCCTCTTTTCCCAACCAAATTTTTAACTAAATATGTAAACAAAAAATATAAAACAGAAATAATGCTAGCATCAACTAGAAAGAAGGTTATTTAAAAAAAAATGATCTTTATCAATCGTCAATGAATTCTGGTAGTCTTGGTACTTGTTCACTTCGAAAACAATTCAACACGAGTGAATCAGGAGATAATAATTTCTATGGTTGAAATTGTTCACTTTTCCTATAAAATAACCAAGTTTTGTCCTTTTTTCTTTTTATAAAATAATCATCTATTGATTGATCAAAAAATTTATCAGCTAAATGCAACGGTGGAGCATTTCAATGAAGAAATACTTTATCATCCAAAGATTTGTGTTGTAATGAACGGTTATTCTGAATATGATCTTTTAATATCGATGCTGCTGATTCACAAATAGCTTCACTTCTAATTTTTAATATCATTAATGAAGAAAAATGAAGAAAATCAT